CTTAATTTTCAATCCTTATCAAAAATTAGTGTTGATTCATGACGATTCTATATGATCGAATTGATAAAAAACAAAAAAAGAAATAGCAAAGTTAAAGAGATAGAGAGAGAGAGAGAGAGAGAGAGAGAGAGAGAGAGAGAGAGAGAGAGAGAGAGAGAGAGAGAAAGAGAAAAGTGAAAATATAAACAATATTTTTTTCCTTCGTAAATATTTCGACGTTTCCGATATTCTTTTTCTCATTTTTTTTCCTTTTCTTTTTCTTTAATATTTCGATTCAATTTTTCATTCTCTCTCTCTCTCACACACAAATATGCTTTTTCTCTTTTTATTTTTAACTACGATCAAAATACACGAATCTAAATTGACGCGTTTCTAATCTTCTATTTTTTCTTTTGATTTCTTTCTTTTTTTCTTCTTTTTTTTTTTTTTTTTCTTTGAAGTCTTTTTCCTTTTATTTTTTTTTCTATATATATATATTTCTTTTCGTTTTTTTTTTTGTTTTTTGTTTTCTTCTTTTTTTTTTTTTAAGAAGACAACGTAATGCAGGAGAAACGACGATGGACGGTGATGATCACAGCCAAAATTATAATCGATGATAATATCACTAAGAATCCGATTTAATTTTAATAGAGAATTTTCGTAGATGCATATAAAGTATCTTTTTTTCTTTTTTTCCTTTTCTTATCTTTTCCGTTTTATTCCTTTGCTTTTCTCTTTTCTTTCGTTTTTATCTCTTAAAACAATTACCTAATTATCATACTCGTTTTGTGTATAAAATTTTAGGAAATATATATCGAGCGCCGAGGATATACGCAGAGCGACAATTTATCTTAATGTCTAATTTATAAAAAACAATATATATATATATATATATATATATATATATATATATATAATCATTATTAGCGATGACTATAATCGTATTAAGACAATACACATTTATGATATTAATATATTCGCAGAATTAATTAATTTTTACGAATGGATAGCCTCAAGTAAAAAATTTCTAATACTTAAAATTAATTATAAATTAATTAAATGGATCAATTTCTAAAAATTTCTAATCCGCCACAGGACAGATATTTACGACTCTTAGCGATTTAAAATAAATCTTTTTTTATTCATTTTTCCTATCTCTCTCTCTCTCTCTCTCTCTCTGTTTTTCTATCTTTTATTTTTTTAATTAAAACTTAAAAAGAAAAGATGAAATATTTTCTATTAATCCTTAATTTAACATCACCGTCATAATAAACAATTACAAATTTCGATAAAATAACGTTTAATAATAATATATCGATAATGTTCGTTTCATTTATAATATTATATCGTATAATATTGTATATGAGGCACGTGATATAATCACACTTTCAACAAACAATCTTTCTTCTCGATCATTTTTTTTCTCATCTTCTTCTTCTTCTTATTTTTCTCCTTTTTTCTTTTCTTTTTCTTTTTCTTTTCATTACTCGCGACTCGACATAAAATTGACATTAATAAATTAACAATTATTTATATCACAAATTTTCACAACCCTGGATTTTGACGACCATTCTCTCACCCTCTCCCTCTCTCTCTATCTCTCTCTATCTCTCTCTCTTTCTCTCTTTTTCTCTCTCTCTCTCTTGTTTTCTTAACTTGAAAAAGAAAAAAAAAAAAATTAAAAAGAATTTTTACTTAGATTTAACACGATTTATTCTGACGAATAAAGGTATTTCTTTCATAATTAATAACCTTCCTAAAAGTTTATTAATTATCAAAGCTAATTAATAATCTGCGATAATTAATAACCCGCGCCAATCTTAGATTAAACCTATATATTCCATTTCTGCCTGTCCCTCGTCATTTTTTTCCTTACTTAAACATATATCTAAAAAAAGAGTGTTAATAAAATTATTTTGTATCTTTTTTTCTCCTCTCTCTTGTTCTTTTCTGTTTTTTTTTTTTTGTTTTTTTGTTTTTTTTTTTGTTTTTTCCTTTTAAAAGGAACAATGTCTTATCTTTCTTTTCATTTTCGTTAAATCGTACGCATCAACAAGAGAATCAATCGAGCTGTTACCACTTAAGAATTTCTCATATTGATCCTTGTGAAATTTTCGCAAATGTCTAATACGACTCGAATTTTGAGTAAATCTTTTCAAACAGAAGCAACACCAGAATCTTCGTTCGACGCCGCACTCGTTCACAATGTGACGTTTCAGATTGCCCTTGTTCGGATATGATCTTCCACAATTACATTTAAATTGGCCGTTGGTGTTCCTTATTTTACCGCATACCGTTTTCTGATGACGTTTCATAGAATAGGTACAAGCGAATCCCTTGTTACATTTTGAACACATATAAGGCTTGTCGGTTTTGCGTTTGCCGTAATCTGAAATAAAAGATCAAACGGAGATATAAATTTTGGACTTTCTTTTTTTCTTTTTATTTTTGTTTGTTTGTTTGTTTGTTTGTTTGTTTGTTCGTTCGTTTGTTTGCTTTTTTTTTTCAATTTCCCTTTCTTTTTTCGTCATATTCGAAAGTTAGAGATTGAGAAGAAAAAAAAAAGAAATAAAGAAGACAAAGAAGACAAATATATACATATGCATATACAATGTGAGAAGATAAAAAAAGAAAAGAGAAAGAGAGAGAGAGAGAGAGAGAGAGAGAGAAAGATTGTATAAGAAGAAGGAGGAAAAAAAGAAAAAAAACACAAATGGATCTCAAATTTTGAGAAAGAGATAGATAGAGAAAGAGAGAGAGAGAGAGAGAGAGAAAGAGAGAGAGAAAGAGAGAGAGAGAGAGAGAGAAAGGACAATTTCTTTTTATATAATATATACGTACTACTTGTTAAATGCAGGATCGATCTTCCACGACGTTATAATTTTGTCGTATTAATTATTTACATGGGTAAATATTTAAAAAAAAAAGAGAGGAAACCGTGGAAATAAATAAATAAATAAATAAATAAATAAATAAATATATATATATATATTTAAAAAGAATATATATATATATATATACCTGTATAAAAATAAAAAATAATAAAAATATAAAATAATAAAAATATAAATGAAAATAAAAGAAGAAGATTCGTCGAAAACAAATCGATTATTACTATAAAATCAGTAATTTCTTCTTGGTGAAAATAAAAGTTGAAACGAAATAAAAAAAATGAACATTGTATAGATAACATTTTGTAAATTAACATTATCTTTATTCTTTCATTTCGAATTTCGTTTAAAATCTCTAAATTGAACACTGTTTTAACACTCATAGACTCTAACATTTTAAGATATTACGAATCGTACTATTATCATTTAATTCTTATTATTATTTTTATTCTCCTTGAAAAATTTCAAATAGAAAAAATAATAATTATCGTTCTTAATCACTCGATCAAATAAATCTTCGAGAAGATGAATCATAATGTCCCCAATGATCAATGGATCATCCTCTTGATAAGATTCTTCAATGGTGGTCACTAAAACTAAAATTGATTTATTTTCTTCGTAACGTAATGGCACTGCACTATCTTCAATGTATATATATATATATCTTCGATTATAAACTCTTCAAAATTTAATGTCTCTTCGAAAGATGATTCGTTTGATGACTGATGATCCATTCCACTTTTTCTTATTTTTTTTTTTTTTTTCCTTTTTTTCTTCAACAAGAACATACTATCTCACACGTAATCCGTTCCGCAGGTATTATCAAATCACAATAACAAATTTCTAATTATTAATCATATTTTATCACATACACGATGTACTTTCAATGTTAATTCCAACGAGGAATAAAGGATATGGGAAAATTCAGAAATTTTTTTACGACCAGCCTTGGAAAGGGAAAAAAAAAAAAAGAAAATTAGAAAAAAACAGAGAAAAAAGGAAAAACAACATATGAAAAGAAACAAAAAAAAAAAAAAAAGAAAAAGAAAAGAAAGTAAATCGACAAGTTATCGATTTAAATTCGAATTTGAAGGACGGCTTCATTACGATCCTGGAAATAACAATTTGTTGCGATTCTTCAAAATAATAAGGATATAACGGAGGGAGGTGATTTTATTATTATTATTATTATTTTTGCTATTGTTATTATTATCGTCATTATCGTAATTATTTTATATATTTATATATTGCCCTATTATATTCAGCATATAGAAATCTATATTGGATTGATTGATGGATAATTTGTACGTTGGAATTTTTAATATTGCCGATTGGTTCTCTGATCAATCAAAAAATAAATTTTTCGTCGTAGATAAATTTTTTTTAACAATCGATTAATACTTCCTCGTAAATTTTCTTTTTTTTTTTTTTTTGTTTCTTCGTAGTTCGATCAGCCTGTTCAAAGAAGAAGAATATTTTGGAAGGTTGTTATTGTCTGCAATTCATATATATATATATATATACACATATACACGTATATAAACAAAACAAAAAGGAAAAAGAAATAAAAAAGAAAATTAATAAATACATAAAAAAAAGAAAAAAAAAAAAATAAGAGACAGAAAAAGAACAAACACAAGGAATACAAAAATGGACGTAAGGAATAGAAAGGGATGATTATCGTTCGTTTTTCTTCGTGGAATAGA